ATAATTCTCGGAATCGAGAATTGTAGATCTTCCCAGAGACTGAAACTCTTTGAGTGAGTCCATATTGACTCTTCAACATGTACACTGATATGAGAGGACCTTTCTCCTACGATCAGTGATCAACTCTGATACCAATTGAAAAAGTTGAACACTCAAAGAATAATGCGGAAAACTAATCAGTTCTATTCACTTGAGAAAGATAGTCAAGTACAACTCACTTTTTGTTGTAAGAATCGTACTTACTACACACACCCAAAACTTCCCTTGAGTTTCTTCCCCTCTCACAATGAATTCTACTGATCAAAAAACCTCACAACATAAATCACTCACCAGAGAAAAGAGATTTGCCCAATCGGTCTCCCTCTCATACTCGCACTCACCAAATAATGAGAACACACTCACTGAACGGAATAGACTAAGAAATTATGCTCATGCTCTCTGAAGAGTTGATATGACTTGACCCTCTATTTAAACTCTTTTTGTTCGTCTTTAGATCTCCACGAAGTGATTAGATCGACTTCTCCTTGATTCTTGCTGATTTCGAGTCTATCTTCAAGATCTCATCTTATCTCTTGTTTTTTACTCTATCTCTTCAGCCTTTGACTCTATCTCTTCAGTCTTTGACTTTATCTCTTTGGTCTTTGACTCTATCTGAATCTCGTCAGTTACACCTCAGATTTGTTCGAGTGCTATCTTCGCCGGATTCTTCTCCTGAAATCTCTCATAAGTTGTTGAACCTGCAACAACCTTTTAACAACCAAAACAACATGTGCAAATACTTGCACTAACAATCTCATTAGTCTGACGAGTAGAACGATCGATCCCCCTTGAATTAAAAAGAAATGAACAGTACAAAGTAGACCAAGAGACCAACCTAAGGAAGAAAAGGCTGGACCGAGTCGGTCCAGAGGATGGATCGTTCGGTCCAGGTAAAGAAAAAAACTAAATCGAAAAAGAAAAAGTTCGGATTGGATCACTCTAGAGAATAGACAAGATTGGCCTACATCAAATTCCCACCAAACCAAATTAAATTGGCCCAAAAGAAAAGGACGGTCTAACACAGGCCAATCCTCAAACTTTAGGTAAGCCTTAAAGTACAAAACGAAAAGAGTTGGTAATCCATAATCCAATTTAATCGTTCTGAATCACGTCTTGTTTCAAAAGGCTTCCATCAAAGCCCGAGAATAGATTTTCATGAACATTCAGTCCGGTAGTCAAGCCTACAACAATACGCCTTGTCTTTAGTCTTGCGGTAACCCGTGGATGGAAGATCAGACAACTTGACGTCAATAATGCGTTTTTACAAGGCCGACTTTCCAATGAGGTATACATAAGCCAACCGCCCGGATTTATCGACAAGGATCAGCCCTCGTTTGTTTGTAAACTCCGAAAAACTATCTACGGTCTTCGACAAGCTCCACGTGCATGGTATTCAGAGCTTCGTGATTTTCTTCTAGCTCGTGGTTTCTTAAACTCATTGGCCGATGTATCGTTGTTCGTGCTCAATACCGATGATGCTTGTTTATATGTGCTCGCTTCTCACTCAAGGATCTAGGGGAGCTTGTTGGGTTCCTGGGATCTCTAGAGCGAATCCTATTCCTAAGAGATCGATTCTAGGGTTTGCGCAGCGGATATAAAATAAAAATTTAATAAACCCTAGAACCATGCTTCTATGAATCGTAGAAACGTTAAAACGCTTACCTCAATCGATCCGGGGCCTGTATCAATTGAAGAATTCGTCTGATCACGAAAGGGAGGAAGAATACCCCGCCCTCTACATGTATCCACACCTCGGGATGGATTCCAACGGTTGGAACTTGTCTGCTAGGACACGAATCTGCTATTCGATTTTGTGCTTCAAGAAAACGAGACTCTTCGGTTTTCGAACTCTTTGGATCTCGCCCAAAAGCTCTCTCAAACCTCTGAAAGTCGGCACCAAAAAGTCTCTCTCGAATTAGGGTTTTAATCTCCTTCTTATAAAGTGATTTAACCCTAATTTCGGTTTAATTTTCGAAAAACCGGAACCTGGAACGGGCGGTCCGGAATTGCACGTGGACCGTCTGTTCCAGTAAGGCAGAACGGACGGTCTACGTTTAGTGCGGACCGTCCGTTCTATCACATAGAACGGACGGTCTGCGTGTTATCGTGGACCGTCTGTTCCACTCCTCAGAACGGACGGACCACGCGTCCGGCCCATCAGGTCTGGACCCTTCCGACTCAGTTTTCCGTCATTTTCTTTCGTGCATTTGTCCTTCCCTGCGTGTGTGACCATGTAGGCTCATTCGATATAGCAGTATAATTCGAAATCTCTATTCTGGATATACAAGTCATAGGCGGTCTCTAGCAAGACACTATGACTACCTATCTCGAATAGAGTTTGTTCGTGATCTTTACGAACGCCAAAGATGATTCCGGTTGATGATCCTTTTGTATCACGATATCATATGTCGAACATAAGGCATGGACAAGCCACCTTATCTGATTCGACTGCTTTCTCGTTCACTGAGTTCGACTGTCTGAAATAGACGATGTTCGTCTATAGTGCGGCCACACATTTCTACCGGAGCCTTTATTGTTTATATTGGCAAGCATCCGATCTCTTGGTCATCGAAGAAACTTGCTGGACACTCGCGCTCTTCGACCGAGGCAAAATACCGCTCAATAGTCAACATGTCTATCGAGATTACGTGGGTCACCTTGCTACTCTCCGAGCTTGGGATCACACTGCTGACATCGTCTACCATCTATTGCGACAACATTGGAGCCACATATCTAAGTGCTAATCCCGTGTTTCATTCCCGAATGAAATACTTAGCCCTTGATTATCTATTTGTCCGTGATCAAGTCACTACCGGCTCCCTCCGTGTTCAACACATCAGCTCGAAGGATCAACTTGTCGATGCTCTAACCAAGCCATTACCACGCTCATCATTCACGGAACTCTACGTCAAGATCGGAATCGTCTCCGATGCTCCGTCTTGAGGGGGCGTGCTAGAGGTGTTACAGATTGCGATCTTCACAAAAGAGGAAACTTCCATATTATAGGACCTCTGTTACATAATTGTAATCTTGTGCATGATTCTCTCCTATTATTCCTTATTCTTCTCACATGTATCAGTCTATATGTAGGTCTATTGTAAAACTTAAAATATAACGAAAGTATTTTTCTCTCACAGCGTGTGTATACTTGTGCAAATAACCGTATAACGAATGTATAAATAGATATATCGGATTAATGGCTCAAGCTAAAACTTATAATTATTAATAAATCAGAGACGCATTTATGCATATAATTTTAATGAAAGTGCATAATTGTATGTGATTGAGGGTATTGAATTGGGATAGATGGCATGGCGTTAGACAATATGTCGAACGAGTTCAGATATTGGCTAGTGTGCTATTGTAGACGGGTAAATGTTATTGAATGGTGTTTCGATGAGTGCGATCAGTGGATACTCAGTCGTATGACGGTATATCCTGGTCGAATGTCATACGGGTGAGATATGATTGTGATTATGGTGATTGAGGATCGCGGTAACGTTCTGAAGGACGATATGAACAACCAGAGATCCATGTTGTCTGTATCGGTTCACGATGTAATCAATACAGATACGTGGAGAGGTAACACGGTTTGTCGGTAACCGACCAACATTCCATTGGCCATGAAATGGTATCGGGAGTTACTGGTATCCCCCGATAATAGTAAATGAAATCTGTGATCGAGTTGTTGCATGTGCCCCCGATTATGAGGTGTTACGAACTACTTTGAAAGGTTGAGCTCGAGTCCGATGAGTAACTCCGTGGCTGATGGTCGATGAGGGAGAGTTAGCATAGACTTGTTATGTTCGGCAATCGTCGGCGCCGAAAGGCGACGTCAGATCCTGATATAGAGAAATGATATCGATATCGGGAAGATGTAAGTGTGTGATATGAATGATTTATGTTTTTATGAGAAAACATTGATGTTTTTATTTATTATTCCGGTGATAACCAGGGATATGATTCTGGTGATAACCGAGGAGATAAGAGGTTGTGCGATTGCACATGGTGAGACGTGACATACATGTGTGATGCATGCGTAGAAATGAATTGACGGTGATATTGATGATAAAGACCGAAAGGATCGACATATTACTTGTGTAACGACAGAGAAGAGATAAGAGGATAACCTGACTCGTGTGCCGGATGCACGCGAAGACAATTTGACGACACTTATCCGATGATAAATATTCATCAGACTGATTGTGGGTGTTTTAATAGAAGAATTATTGATTGTTATATGTGTTGTCGTCTATATACATATGTATATATATGATTGCCTGTTATTTGGCCGATTCTAAGTTAGACAAATTCATGTTTTACCTTTTGTATTATTTTCCGTTGTAGATAAATGAGAAATAAAGTTTTAAATTCCGTGCATTTTTTATAATCTTGTTTTATTTATCATTGCCATGTAGTGCATCTCCTTCTCTGCGGGATACGGGTTACGATCGTCACAAAATCTATCTGCCAATATTTGTAAAAATATTATTGTATTGTGTTACCCAAACTTGGATAGTTCAACTGGTGAAACGATGTGTAAAACGTCTTTTTCATTTCGTGTTTGAACGTTAAATTTGGGAAAATATATATATATATATATTCCAAATTGCGTGGTTGATTTCGACTCCAAAATTAGTCTGAACTTTGATTTATTATACTTGATAACCAAAAAAAATATTATTATATTTTGTAAAACATATTTATTTAAAAAAATATATTTGATTATTTTATATTTAGTTTGAAACAAATATAATTATATATTTCATCAGATTATTTATTTTTAACCTAAATAAATTTTATTTAAAATTTAAAAAATATAATTTAGTTTTTTTATTTTAACAAAATGTATTGGCTCACAAAATTTGGATTTTAATAGATTTAGGCTCAATTCTACCACGGAGATGGTCGATGATTAGACGAAGAAGACAGAAACCATGAAATAATGTGGGTTGCAAAAAGATAAACCAATGTTGAAACATTTCAAAAGCTAAACGTTCAACCCGAACCAAAAACACTATGAAGTTATTTTGTTCATAAATCGATCTAAAGTCTTTACTATAGAAGCTCTCATGTCAACCTGTGAGATGGTTAGATTATGATGATGATGATGATGATGAACCCCTTTTTTTAAGTCTCAAGATCTTATTTCTCTTGCATCTGAAACGTTGATTTCGGGCGAAATCACACGGTTTTGTTCGGGTTCTGAGTTGTTCCATCCCGAAGATTCTGCGTTCTCCGACTGCAGTGGCTCGTTCTTGGGTTTCGTCTCGGGAACTTGTCCTGTGGACACGACATCAGCCGAGGGTAATGCAGGAGTAACCACGGAGGATCTACGTTTGTACTTCCTCTTTTGAGGTTTCGCACCAAACGTTAAGAAACTTCCAATCACAACCTGCGGATGAGGAAAAAAAATGTAAGGATTTAACGAACGTTTTGATACCGGGATCGGTTAATTAATCATGGTCATGGCACGACGAATCATGAGCTTTAGGACTGGTTTTTATCCGAAATCTCCCAAGATATATGATAATGGGTTCTACCCGGAAAAACACAGGTTTCTATCCAAAATAAAATCTCAAGATATGATGTTTCGCTCAGAAAAACGAATTTTTATCCGAAAATTCTCGAAATAATATGAGGTTTAATCCAAAGAACAGGTTCCTATCCAAAAAAACTCTCAAGATATGATAAGGGGTTCCATCCAAAAAACGAATTTTTACCCGAAAAACTCTCAAGATATGATAAGGGGTTCTACCCGAAGAACATGTTTCTACCCGAAAAAACAAATTTATGCCTCAAAAATTCTCAAGATGTGATAAAGGTTTGCAGTTTATTGCGACCTTGTTGTGACCATAATGAAGAAAAGGGCTTACTTGGATGGGGCTAGAAGCTGTGAGAACTCCATCAACAACTCCGCCAATGACACGGCCATCGGGTCCGGCCAACGAAACGCTCAAACCTCCGGTTTTGTTCCATATGCCTCCGATTTCAGTTATCACATATGAACCCGTTAACGTTAATATCTCGAACAAGCCCTGCAAGATTCACATAAAGGCTTTGAATCCATCCTTAAATCATTTCGGTTTAGAATATCAAAATTCCTAAAGCTTAGCTCGATCGCTAATAACAAACATCGAAAACGTTTTAAGAGTTAACAACAGTAATCCTGAACCAACCCTTTCAAGAATCAAAAAATCGTTCTTATCGTAACAACAATACGAGCGTTGTATCCATTATGATTCAAGAGGATTAAAATGCATAATTCGCCAAGAAATCCCACGAAAAATAACTCGATTTCAAGATTTCGAAAAACATCAACTTGCTCTAAACGGTTAAATACTAACTCGAGCGGAACCAGCGAGAATCTAAACCGGGTTCTTACCATAAAGGACCTTCTGAATCCACAAGGCACATTTTGGTTCACAAGGTGAAAATGCATAGTTTTACCAAAGAAGATCCTCGAAACATAGCTCGATTTCACGAATTATAAATATCGAAAACGTAACAAACGTCGAGATGAGGATCATACCTCGTAGGTGAGGATGCCTCCGGCGGATCCGGGATGCCGAATTCTGACGTTAGAAACGGTTCCAATTGCTGATAAAACGCAGATTCCTCGAGGACCCTTTTGCGTAAACGACAGAATCTTACCGGTCAAATCCTGCACCAAACCTCACATTGTGAATCCACATACATACATACATACATACATACATACATACATACATACATACATACATACATACATACATACATACATACATACATACATACATACATACATACATACATACATACATACATACATACATACATACATACATACATACATACATACATACATACATACATACATACATACATACATACATACATACATACATACATACATACAGGTAGGGGTGGGCACGGGTCGGATACCCGGGAAAATCGAGAGATTTGGATTCGGATCCGGGAGGCTCGGGTATTTAACTATGAGATTTGTATCCGGGATTTGGTATTTACGAGTATCCGGGGTACGGGTATCCGGAATAATAGTCGGGTACTCGCGGATATCCGGATCCGGATTTATTTAAGAAAAACAACAATATTCATATATAAAATTTTTAAAACATGAAGATATATTTATAAAAATTGATGAATTATGATAAAATATATAAGACAAAAGAGATAATAAGAGACAAATAATAATAAATTTAATTTTTTTGAATTAATATTAAAAAAATGTGAAATTATTTCATGTAAAATAATTGTATTTAATAAAAATGTTATATAAATATAAGATATAATTATTTATAATCATAATACGCGGGTACCCGCGGATATCCGGTTTTAAAAATTCTATTATCCGGATTTGGATCCGGATTCACGGGTATTGAAAAATAAGGATTTGGATTCGGATTTGAAAATTACGAGTACCCTAAAATCGGGTATCCGTGAGACGAGTATCCGACGGATACCCGATTTTCGGGTATTTGTGCCCAGCCCTACATACAGGTATTGCACATATATACAGTATACCTCTCCGGTGTTGACAGTGATGATATGTGGTGTGAAGTCCTCTCCGGCTGTTCTTTCAAATAGTTCACCTTCACGAATAATCATCACCCCAAACCATATAATATCATAATATCTATAAACATTTTCAATTCCCATTATAATCATGTTCTCATCTGGTGTAGAAAAGACTCGATTTTTTTTTTTAGAATTCATGGAAACAGAAAAAAAAACCCAAATTAAAAACAATCAAAACGAATGATTCTTGTTATTATTAATTATTAATACTGTTATTATTGACAATGATAATAATAATAATAACAAATAATAATGACAATAATGTAATTTTTATTGTAATTAGTAAAGAACACTCACTGATGAAGCAATTACCAGTGCCAAAGCCTTTGCTTCTGTTCTTCTTAGCCAAATTCTCCGTAGGCGGCGGCGACCGTACAATCAAGTTCCCCTCCGCATCGTACTTCCTCGGTCTCCCTCTCTTCCTCTTCCCAGACATATCGCCGCCGTTGCTCCCCTCCGCCGCCACCGGAATCGCCGTAGTGGTCCCTACCGGTGACGTCATCGAGCCTGAGAATGGCGTCACTGGCCCGGAACCGGTAACGTTCGTGCTCGTAACGTTGTTGTTGGACGGTGGCTCCGGCGGAGAAGTCTCTCCTTCCGTCGTGGCGACGGCGGTTGAAGCGGCGAAGCTTGTCACAGGCGACGGTGAGTCTGTCCCAGAATCCGACATTGACCCGAAAACAGTGCTGTCTTTTTCCTCCATGATAGAAAGATCAGAGAGTGACCAATCCAGAGAGAGAGAGAGAGAGAGAGAGACTTATGAAGTTCCCTCCATGGACGAAGGCAGAGTGAGGAAAAAACAAAAGCAGAAGAAAAAATAAAAAACGGAGACAGAAAATTTTGATGTCTTAATCTGGTGGTCTCGAAATGACGATATTGCCACTGTGTTAAAACCCCTAATTATTCCTGTATTCGAGAGGTTTTGAATTCTTCGTTCTAATTTCTATATTTTTAGAATTTAAAACGGATTTGACTAAATAAATAATTATCCTTTTGGAAATAATATTTGGAAAAGAATAAATCGGGTGCATTTCTGTCTTCATATCCTTCACGATAATGCACATAGATACCGTTTTTAGAGATCGGTATTTAATAATATTTTTAAATATAATTTACTAGATAGATACAACATCAAAATATCGAAGATTATAATTTATTTCATGGTTTGAAATAGCTAATATAGTATAAAATATATCATGATTGAAATGGCTATATACGTTTTTAGAAAAAATTATAATTTTATTTATTTCATCATTTAATACTAATCTTTTAAATTTTTATATTAGTATTTTGCTAAAAAACTTCTAATTAATATCAAATTTTTAATAATATATATTCCACAATATTTTAAAATATTCAGAGCAATACATTTCTATTTTTTTGGTTAATTTCAGTTGATTAAAATATTCTAGTTTTGATAATTTTATGAACTTAGATATTAAATATTTAATATATAAAATCAAGATGTAAGATTGTAAGATAGTCGGTTGAAAAGTGGGGTATCAAAATATTTTAAAATAAATACTAAAATTGAATAATGAAAACTATCATTATTTAATCCACTTAAATAAAAATAATTTACATTACATATATTATTAAAATCAATTTCCATAATACAAAGCGAAATAAATTATAATCTAGTGTAAATATTTCATACATAATAAAAAATACTATCTAAGAAAACTCAAAATATTATGTTTTCTAAAAAAAATTAGATAAAATTTTAAAAAAAATCGCAAAAGTTTTTAAATTTTGTAAATAAATAAATAAAATTTGAATTTTATAAAACAAATAAAAAAACTTTATAATTTGTTTGATCAAAACTCACATAAATCCTCATGTCATTACAAAAAGCCACGTCACCACCACATAAAATAAATATGCATTTAAAAAAATAAAAATATTAATTATAAATGCATTTAAATATAAAAATTAAATCAATTAAACACAAAAATAAAAAATAAAGTAAATTACATCAAATAGATATAAAAATAACTTTTAAAAAATTAATTTAAAATATATTTGAAAAATAAAAATTACAATATATAAACATATATACATACATACACATATATACATAAAGATATATACATACATACATACATATACAATCTATACATATATATACAACATCTGCATAGGACACATGTCCCCATTTAATCAGTAAAACAAAGTTTATTTTTTATAAAAAAATTATGTAAAATTTTGAATAAAATTATAAAACACCCCCATAAAATTAAATATGTTTATAATAAAAAATTGCCCTCAATGATATATTTCTCTAGGTGCATCAATGTATACATGTACGTATATATGTATGTAAATATATATGTATTTGTATATATGTATATATATGTGAATGTATATGTATATATATGTGTATATATATTTATTGTATATTTTTATTTTAAAATTTTATTTATAAATATTATTTTCGTCAGATTTCTAATGATATTAGAGTTTATACGAGTTCTTGACAAAATTACAAAATTTGTGTTACATTTTTATATATAAAATTAAAATATATTTACGAAAAAAGCCCGCAAGAAAGTAGAATAAAAAAAGAAATACGAAATTGAGGGTAGTTTAGTAAATGAGTTGGAAGAAAATTACCATTTCGAATTAAACTGGTCAAACCAATGGTGCTGTGCTATTAAAGCAAATAAACCATTTTATTATTTGTATCTTTGGGGATAAAAACAAAGTTTTTTAATCCCAAAAAAAGTAAATAATATTTTATATATTACTTTATTTTCTCTTTTTTAACTTTATTTGGAGTTTATTTTATTACCATAATTTTCTAGTTCTATTGCTATAGTTACACGTCACCGTTTTATATAGATAATTTCCTTTCCATTATTCCCTATGATAACATTAGTTACCAATGTTTGTTTTTGTTTCATTTTACTAGAATTTTTTGATTGTTTGGTTTTATGAAAAATATATTCGTTTAGTTTAAACTATTTTGGAAATTATTTTTATATTATAAAATGTTTCTTTTTTTATAATAATTTCATATTCATTTGGATATTTTGATTTCATTATGTAGGTTCTGTAATTGTTTGGGGATATATAAACATTTTGTATGAACCAATCCCGTAGCCAAATACCTCATGCCATTTTGCTAAATATGAAATTTTATTTTCAAATGTTCATAACTACTCTTTTCAGCCAGCATATCCCTCAATTCAAATTTCACAACAACAAAAACTTTTGGTAGAGGTATTTTTATAATTAAATACTAATTTAAATAAAAATAGGAATGACGGTGAAAAATAAAACAGAATAGAAAGGGTAGTACTGATTTTTCAAAACAAAATACCCAAAATGGTATGGATTTTATGATGTTTCTCTTCCGGTTGTAAGCTCGAAAGGGATATTGCCGGTTTTGCATAGAATTTTTGAAGAAATATCTAAATATTAATGACTATTGATTCCCTGTCATTGTACATGATTGTAACCAGTTTTATTTTCCAAATCAAATTGTTTTGGAATTATAATCAGGGTAAAGACGAATTATAAATATATATACACACACACAAAACCAGAAATACAATTCCAGGTCAATACATTAACAGTTTTTCTATATATATATATATATATATATATTCAATCACATATGCATATTCACTGACTTTTTCTAACTAAATATCTAGATTTTTTTTATAAACTTCTAAAAATTTGGTTCATATATTAATATATTAATTTTGGGTTTAGTTCAATGGATCAATGACCCAAAAATAATTGTTCTACAGTAAAATCTTAAATAAAAAATCAGGCAATTCAAGCATTTCCTTTCCTAAAGACACCTTCTCTCTTTTCTCTTTTTATTCTTTTTTTCTTTCACAAGAAATTAGGATAAATACTTCTACTTCTTCAAAGTCTTCTTATCTCTTTCATTTGGATTTTTTTTTATAACGGTAAATGTATTGATTTTCAAAAACTGTTTATATACAACCGGACAATAAGTCGGAACTAACCATTAAGATACATGATTCCATAAAAAAAGATGTAGTTTTAGCTAATTAAAGCATAGTTTTTGGTCGATTAGCGCCTGAGTAGTGATCGGAGTGGGACCGTAAATGTTAGCCACACATCTTCGAGAGTGGGACTTGCCGAAACCCTTGCCACATTGGATAGTAGAACATCCCTAATAAGCCTGTCCGTTGCCACCCTAAGCTTGGCCATCGTAGATGACTCCTTCCGAAAAATACGTGAATTCCGCTCATGTCATATGATATACGTGACTGCTTGCAAAACCAACTTACAGATTTCCTTCCTGGGGTATGGTCCACCATCGAGTTGGCCCTCTAACCAGTCCCTACAACCCTCCAATGATGATGGTGGGGAGTTGTAGAACACCGTCGCAAAGAACCGCCAAATATCCAGACTGAAAGCACACTCAAAGAACAAATGAAAGTGCGATTCAGGAGATACCTGGCAAAATACACAAGCCGATGAAGTATTGACTCCCCACCTTTCCAGTCGATCTAAGGTGGGAAGTCGGCCAAGGAAGGCTTGCCAGATGTTGAAGCTTAGTCTTGGTGTGCTTAGTTTGCACCATACCAATCGATGCCAACGAACCGTAGGACATCTAACTCGAATCAGTTTCCAGGTGGAAGAGGAGGAGAACTGGTTACCAAAGCAGTCATCCGAAATTTTCCACTCATACCTATCACATTCAGCCTCAGATGATGGAGGAGCTATCGACGAAATGCGGGCTTGAATCGCTTGGATGGCCGCAGTCCTAGCCCCTGGAAAGGACCATTCTGTGCCTTGCGTTGCATCCTTCATCTTTGCATATAATGGGACCTTTAGCAGCTTTGGTCCATTGATACCTGTTAGCTCGATGAGTGACCCTAAACTAGTCCAATTGTCGAACCAGAAATCAGCCTGCTTCCCATTACCCAGCACACAGCGTAAAAACTCTTTCGCTTGCTGCCTGAACCCGAGAAGCTTTCGAAGATGACAAGAATGCCCTTGTGATTGTGAAACCCCCCAGAAGCCCTTCTTCTTAAAGATGTGTCGCTTCAGCCAAGCGACCCAGAGCGATCCCGATTCCTTGAATATAAGCCATATGCTTTTGAGCCGAAAAATTGTACTGAAGTCCTCAAGACGCCTAATGCCCAGTCCACCCTCCTCCTTCGGCTGACACACTTTGTTCCATGCCACTCTCGCTATATTCTTCCCCTCGATTGAGTTCTTCCATAGATGCTTGTAGGATAGATCATAGAGCATAGTGGGAGATTGTTGGTTGTAATGCTCTAGGATGATCCGTGATATGACATTTGACTTTGTATTGATTCATTAGTTTATGAATGCATTACTCTTCCCGTTATATGATTGGCATGTTTGTTATATTTCGGTATCCTGGAATCATTAGAGAATGATTCTAAACTCCCTAGTCAGTTATCATTGTGGGAACAATGATGAATTAAGACTAGCATGAGGTGTGATCGATGCATTGGATGCATATCACAATCATGGGTACTCATTGTGAACGAGTGACTAGATGACCCGCATGAGATTGTCACATGGACAGAGTCATGACTTGAATCTCATACAGCGGTTCGTTCTTGGATCCTCAGACCTGAGATGTCTAGAGTATCTGATATGAGGAGTGGCGTGTCTTGACTGCGTCAAACGTCGTCTTTAACCGGATGATTATAACGACGTTGATCAGATACGTTCAGGAATCATATGAAGATAGTAGACATGCAATATGAGACTTGTCACCTCCTCAACAGGAGAGATATCGCTGGGCCCTCTCGTGGAAACCGGAC